AATGATATAGTACTCATTCAGTAGAAGAACATCATACTTTATACTTATTGAAAAAAGTAGGTAATTCTCTTAGTTACTCTGGTCGTTCTGACCATTCCAACTATATGAAGAGCTTACTCTGGAACAATATTAGCAAAACAACAAATTGTCTCTTGATATTTTCTGTACATTTTAAGATCACTCTTACTTTCTACGTAAACATGAGTAACATTCATAGTCATTGCACTGATCATTATGAACAACTGCACCAACAATGTGTAACTCAATGGAAATATCCATCATCATCGCTTCTACTATGTGTTCTACCGCCTGAACTTTTTATTCACAATATACTTCCACATTTAACATATCTTGATTTATGTTCGCTTTCACAAGTGAACAAAATTTTTAAAAAATTAATTGATACAAATAATCAACTGTGGACAAATGCTATTAAAAACGAAATGTTAGGTATGTTACAAAGAATAACAATAAATAAATGACATTGAAGTTTGCTCCATTATTGTTTTTCAGATGAGCCCCCACCAGATGAAAAAGTATTCGAAAATGAAAAATCAAGATTTAAATATTTGTACGAAAGACGACAGAAAAAACCATGGACATGTGTATATCGTGTGATTGCTTGTGGTTGGCAGTAAGTAGAAAATGAGATGTTTCCATAATCAGACACAGAAATTTCAATGGGATTTCACAACTCTAAAGAATTTAACGATTAAAAACCATCAATGGACAATACAGCGCCTCGATGATACGAGTCATTTGAGAGCGAGGAAAACAGAAAGTCCTTAAATGCAAAGCACGAAACATTCTCAACTTCATTCTTTATATGATGCTGAAAATCAAGAGATTCTGTTCAGTTTTCTAAATTATTATATGTGTTTAAATTCCTCGATTTCCAACACTCTATATGATCAGTAGATCCGTTCGTGAAAGTTTCCATTTCTGGACGGTCATGCATATTGCTGCTAAAATTGTCAGCATGTGCAATGTATATGTGTGCAGAGATATTATGGACTGTAACAGTTAACTTTTGTGATAGAAAACACACCTAGAGTAAACATCGTGGGGTCTTATGTGGCTTCGGAAGTCAGCTTTTCAGAGAAACTTACGCATTATCATCTAGTTTCGAGCTTCCAAGATCTGTAAGAAAAGTTCTCTGCTCGCAAAGGTATGTTCCATATCGTCTTTCTTCAAGTAACCGAAAATCACAACTCTGATGTCTTCCTTTTGATAAATTATTTGAAGAACAGATAGCTGCCTTTTGATTTGATGCCAATAGTGATCATAATATTGGCATTGTTAAGTTCTTTTTACCTTGTCTGCGATATTTCTAGTACCAATCGTGTAAACTTGTTTCACAAGTATATAACAGTTCGATCATCGATCAATGTCATACAGAAACAAGAACAAAATCATGAACTGTGTAAGAACTCGAAGTGTGTTAAAACAGTTCCACGTGATGTAATTCTTTTTTAATTTCATGTATTTCAGTTATTTATTATTTTCATGGCGAACCACAAAATAATATCAATGCCGATATGATAGATGATCGCAGTCGAAAATTGCTTCCAGAACCTGAAAATATGAAGAACAAAGATCGATCATTCCATCATAGGGCAGAACTTCAGATCGAATGCTTAAAATGTAAATCAAAATGTTATTATCCGTCACGCTCATGTTCACAAGTGCAGCCATACCATTGGTTTGTGAGTTATTTACCGACACAAGATGGTGGTGGTGGTGAACGAATCGAAGTCATTGAAATCTACTGTGGCAAATGCTGCCGTTTCTCATTGTGGAAAAATACGTTACGAGGACCTGTAAGTAACTTTGTGCCACCAAGAGATCATTAGCAGCAACTGCTGAAGAGTTTTCGTAAGAGCTACGATGTTCATTGTTTATCATTGTCAAATAAAAGCTTTCTTTCGAACAATAAACTAGAAATTACTTACATGACCTTTTATCGTTTTGAATAACACGAAGAATGATTGTTTCGTGATTCGCTCGAAAAAATCTTAACTTAGTAACCGAAGACTTTGAAAATTCGAAGAAAACACCTAATGACATCTTTTCGCAAACGGATTGGTGAACGGTGAGCACGAGGAACGATGAGCACGCATACTTAAGCACAGGAACCATAAGCACGAGAACGTTGAGCACCGAAAAGTTCAGCACGAAAAATAATAAGGACTTGAGATATGGGTGTGGTGTATGTGAGTGGGTTTTCGAGAGCTATGGGAGCACGCTTGTCTGAACTTACATAAGGACCTGGACCTTCACAAAAATAAAAATTTGAAGGGTGCGAGTATCAGTGTGCTTGTATATATGAATGTCAGGGTTGTAGAAACCATTAAATCCAAGAATTTCAAGACCCCAATTTGACCGACCGATTAAATTTTTTGGCACCTAGTCGATAAACGTTGTTCGAACCTAAACGATCACTATTGCTGAATTCGGGCCTAATTAACTAATCTTTTGTGAGTAGAGCCCATCGGACCCGAAAACATTTTTTCCGAACCCAGTACATTAAATGTTCAGAACAGGACTAAGTGGAGTCTGTGTAGGTATAGATGAGCTCTAGTAGATGTATGTGGGGGGTGGGAGGGGGTAAACGTGTGATTGTGAATGTGTTGTAGATGGCACAGAATCCGAGATGAGCGGAACCAATCGTTTTTGGTCTCGAATCCTGCGGGATCGGGTCGAGGACCATGTTGTCCACGTCTACACAGAAGATCAGAATTACACCAACGCACAACTCTACACCAACACTTACATCCACGCCTTTAAGTTTGTTTCGTGCTGAACTTTTTGTTGCTCAACATTCCCGTGCTTAACGTTCCTCGTGTTTATCATTCTCGTGCTGATCATTCTCGTGCTTATCGTTCCTGTGCTTAAGTTTCCATGCTTAAGTTTCCGTGCTCATCGTTCCGGTTCCCATCCACATCCTACACCCACACCCGTTTCTATCACATGTATTTATCAAACGATAGCAAACACGATAACTTTTTATAAACAAGATAATCTTTATCTATTGTTTAAGAATTAAAAATTATGCATAATATATTCTTTATTATTAATAAAAATCAAATAATCATTGTATAGATTACAATACAATAAAAAAAATATACTTTGTTTAATATTGATATCTATAGATCTCTATATGTAAATCTAGAGAATGATCGTTTTTTGATTAGACAATGTCACAAAATTCGATATGACTTTAAATAAAATATAAGTAATAATATGATCAAGTCTATTTGATTTTATATATTTATTAATTATTTCTTGGTCGAAATGGTATCGACATATGATTATGATCTTGATGTTGTTCAAATACATTTAGCATTTTTATGACAACTTGTTTTGGTAGAATAAACCAAATAAAATCTTGATATTCTTCTGGAATATCTAATGGTGGATCATTTCGAAAATCAATATTTTCACAAACATATTTTGAGATATTGTTTGCCATTGCTATAGCTTGATCTAATGGATCATTTGAAGATGAAAATCTAATTGATTGAGGAATTTTCGATTGCTATATCATGAAAGAAGTAAACATATAAAATTAATCATACAAAAAAAAAAAAAAAAACTAAAATTTATTTACAATAATATGATTTTGTAATGTTGAAAAATTTTGCTTCATTATACCACTTTCATAAGTAATCATTTGAAGATTATGACAATGAGAGATATGGCTTCCTGATGATACTGGGCGAGGACGCCAAACAGCTGTTTCCAGTTCATAAGTATACTTAAAACGAAAAGAAATATTTTCATAAATTTTAATTATTGAAAAAAAAAAGAATTAATACCAATGGTAAAAATTTCCATCCTTCATCTGCAATAAATTCAAGTGCATTTAAAATATAATCAACTTCTTCATCACTTGCAAAATAAGATAAATTAAATCTTGTAAAACCAGGTTTCATTAATACATTTCTTGAAAATCCATCGAATCGACCACTAAAATATCTATTAAATATTTTTCATAAATTTTGTTTAATTAAAATTTACTTTTCATCTTCTGTCATAAATCTTGTATAAATTTGTGCTTTTTGATCATCAATATTTAATAATTCCTAAATGAAAATATTTTTTGATTTGAAACAAACTCTTTTTTTTTATATCTCAACTTACTAAAACATAAGGTCCAGCACAAGCACATCCAGATCGTACTTGAATACCAAATAAATCATTTAATAAAATAGATATTAAATTATGATGTAAATATTTATCAAATATTGGTACATAAATAAGAAATGAAAATATTGCTAGGCGAGGAACAGTTGATGATCCAAGTACAAGTAATTTTTGATGATTTCGAAAACGTTGAAAAAATTTGTCAACTAATTCTGTTTCACGTTTTTCAATTATGTTCTCTCCAACAATTTCTTTTAGATGAAAAACTAAACCAGCACGTATAGCACCAAGAATATTTGGTGTTCCACCTTCTTCACGTATTTCGATATCTTTTACATATTCAATATTTGTTCGAGTTACAAAATTTACTGTACCACCACCACAATCAACTGGAATTCGATTTGTAAATAATTTTTTCTTAGCAATTAATATACCTAAATGCAAAAAAAAACAAGAAGACAGAAATTCAATTGTTTCTTTTTTTTCTATCTACCTGGTGTTGAAGGACCACCAATAAATTTATGTGTAGAAATAAAAACAGCATCTTTATAAGCTGTTGTTGATGGATTCATATCAATTTTAACATAAGATGCTGCTGCAGCATAATCCCAAAAAATCCATCCATCATAATGATGCACCAGTGTTGAAATAGTATCAACATCAGTTCGAATACCAGTTACATTACTGGCTGCATTTAATGAACAAATAATATGTTTCTTAACCGTATGATGATAATGTTTTAATTTTGTCTTCAGAAAATGTTGATCAAGAAGACCTTCTTTAGTATTTGGAATTCGAATAAGCTAAAAATAAATCTTATGATTTTTATAGAAGAGATTTAAAAAAACAAAAGGAATTTACTTCAATTTCTGTTTCTTTCCATGGTAAAATATTTGAATGATGTTCAAATGTACTAATAAAAACAACAGTTTTATCTTAAATATCTTTATCTTTTAAGTGTAAAACATTAACAAGTTTATTAACAGCAGCTGTTGAACCTAGAAATTTTATTTAATATTTAAATGAATAAGATTTATTTATTAACCTGATCCAGTAAATATAATAACATCATTATCAGTTGCATTAACACATTTCTTAATAAGTGATCGTGCTCCTTCACGAAATTTTGTAGTTCGTAATGCACAAGCATTATTTTCACTGTGTGTATTAGCATAACTGTAAATAATATTTTTGCAAAAAGAATTCTTTTTTTTTTTTTAAGATGAATACTATTCTTACTATGGTAAAACATCATTGAGTATGTAATATTCTATAAATTTAATAGCTCGTCCAGATGCTGTATAATCAGCATATGTAACTATAGAAGAAAAGAAAAGTATTTATTTAGAATAATAAAAACAAAATTTAACATACTTGTTCGAGGTCCAAATGGAGTATCGATTGGAGCATTTTTACCAATAATATTTAAATCAATATATCGAAGAAGTTTTTTTTTATCTAAATAAATTGTTTTATTGATCATGTCAAAATATTTATGAAGTTCTCAATGGATGAACTAATCGTGATCAGAGATGTATCGATCAGTTCTAGTTGTAGGAGAAGAAATATAAGAAAATAGAATTGTTCAAAAGTTATAGTTGAATATTTTGTTTGTTTTTTTTTTTGGCGAAATATTCTATAAAGCAAAAACTCAAACAGGATGACAAAAAACTGATATTCGACCACTGAATCATTCAGAAAAAGGAATATTTAATATATTTTTTAGCTTTAATGCAAATAAGTTTTCAACTAATTCGCACTGGATTGGAATGAGGACTAAAACCTTGGTTCCCGATGTTTCTAACTGAAACTTGATTAGTATTCTGTTTAATAGGATTACTATGAATAAAAATCCAATGCCTTTTACCTTTGAATGACTTTAAGTTAATTTAACATCCTTAAGAATTCTTGCTCTTTTCGATCTCACTTTAGAAAAGTAGATCTTTTGATACTCACTTTTACAATCAATTGATGGAAATTTCAATAAAGAAAAGTTCCAAACTAACCTTTATCAAATTGATTGATTTCAGGAAAGATTGTTAATGGTTTAGCAGTTTCTGATGTAAGTAATTGATCAACATGTTGATTGAATGATATTCTATTTGATTGTGTTATCCCTAGGCAAACATTTTGTAAGCAAAATCTTGGTCAAAATGTAAGGTACAGAAAGATTAACAGATGACAGACAATAATGGAATTTTTCTTGTACTACGATCTGAGCTAGAAACAATCACTTGAATTCATTTACGGATGATTAGAAATGTTTCTGAAATAGCCTATCTGATTTAAAATTCGATGCTGAGTATGAATCTCTGAAGATAAATCTCTGCTACAAGTACAAGGAGTGTAC